GTCTTTCGTTAACTTTATTTGCATAATTTTGTTTGTTTCATAAATCCTGTTGAAAACGTTCTCGACATTTTTGTTCTCATTTCGGTTTTGGTTTTAAAGCGTTCTTGGGAACAAAACTACGAGCATGACATTTAATTTCGATCATACCTTCTATTGTCGGTCCTGGTGAAAATACCTGTTCCGCCTTCTGACGAGGTTGAGCATTCCCGTGTAATTATTAGTAATCAAAGCGAATTCTTAGCCACTTCAATTGGAACATATTGTACTAAAATTTAATGGGCTATAATACTGTATACTTTAATTTTTTTCACAAATTTCGAAATATGAATTTATATGGTTTTTGTTAGATAATGAGTGGAACTTTTATAAAACTTAATAAATAATAAACAAACAAATTTTAAAATAGCCAAAACTGTTCGTTCTGGTGGTTACCGAATTGTGCAGATATTGTTAGCTTCGTTGATCAACTATTTTTTACTTGATCAAAACACAAGAATTCAAAATACGGTACCGCAGGTTTTCGGACTAAGCGACCAATTATATATATAATATGTACATATGCATGAATTAGTTACATATGTATGAGTTAGTTACAGTGGTGCCCACCTAAATAGCGCACTTTTACATCGGCGTAACCAGAATGAATTTTAGGGGGGGCGGGGGGGTCTCGACCCTATTAAGCTGGCATTTCAGGGTACTATTTTATATATATATAAGGAAAGTTTGAAAGTTAGGGGGGGAGCTCGAGCACCCCCCTGCCCCTACCTGGCTACGCCCATGCACTTTTATTTATTAGAATATTCACAATGTTTTACGAGATATATTTTTTTCGTTAATTTTTTATAATATAACGTAAACCATAAAAGGCAAAGTTAAAAACTTTGTTTACAGTACAGAAAAATTTAACAAATTTAAAAAAATGTCATAAAAATTTTCAATTTTTTTTTACAATTTTTAGAATCTTTTTGGGTATGCTGTTTTGTAGTGGATTAAATTTTAGTATAATAATGTGTAGGTTTGAAATATTTGTCAAAGGTGTTGTGTATGTTCGACAAAAAAATTCTCTAAAATCAACGGCATTTTCCGAACTTTCAAACCTGCACATTATTATACTAAAATTGAACAAGCTACATAACTGAATAACCTTTAAGTTTATAAAAAATTGGAAAAAATTATAATTTTTATGAATTTTTTTTTTGACATTTGATAAATTTTCCTGAACTGTACACAAAGTTTCAAACTTTTAATTATATGGTTTATGTTACAGAATCTACTACTTTTTTATACAATATTAATGTATCACATAAAACATTGTGGATATTGCAAAAGAATAAAAGTGTGCTATTTAGTTGAGCGCCATTTTATGTCAACACATTGATATGTATTTATGTATGTGGGAATTGGGAAATGAAAAACATGACTTCATTTAAATACTATGTACATACATGCTATATATACACTTAATTATTACAATTACTTTTACCCTTGGGAAATCCTTGAATTTTAGTCAAACAAAATAATAAAAATGTGTAATTACATATATGTATGTACATACAACATTTTACAAAGTTCTCGATAAAAGGCCACCCTAGGTACTGTCAAAAAAGCAATGTGAATGTACATATATAATTTTGCCGTTTGGAAATGGTGCAGGGTGCGCCGAACAAATCAATATATGAGAAGAATTATTGCGTATTTATTTATTTATTAGTATATGAACTTAAATTCTTACAGACTACAATTAGCACAAAATAACTTAAAACTAGTTCTCACGCTATCCCCATAGAACGAAAGTAGATTTCGAAGACTAATAATAATAATAATAATGGCATCGTTTAAAAATCCATGAGTCTGGAACCCATGTTCTCAACAGTACAAACAAATTCAGTCAGGCGTGGCAATGCTAGTTTTGCTACCAAATTTGTCAAAATATAGAGCTACGAGGAGTACATTACAGAAAAATATCGCCAGTCATTTCTCTTCTATGACAACTGACGCCAATTGGAAATGCCAAGTCCTTCTCCACTTGGTCTTTACAATGCAGTAGGTGCCTCCCTCTTTCTCCGCTACCACCACACAGTGGGTGATCTGGCTGATCTAGCGCGACGAAAAACAAAATTTCAACTGTTTCCATCCACCGAAATTTGATTTCCCGCCGATATCCAAATGTTCATTTAGCAAATCGATAACATCAACATCGATAAAGTCGATACCATTGAGCGGCTTTTTATCTTCTGTAGAGTAAAACTTATTAAGGCACGTAATGGCCGGTAAAAAAAATATAATTGTGTAAAATTGTTGTTCGTTCATTGCGCAAATTGTCCAAGATCAGCTGCCCTGAGCCGCCCTTGCTAAAAATATTGACTTTTATAGGAATCATGTCGGCCCGCAGATACGCACTTTATCCAGCATGATGAAAAAGACGAATGAATGAATTTTCAGCACTGGTTGAGCTTATATTCTGCAATTTTGTTGGAAAACCGAACCGTACTGAGCAAGATTGCATTGCTGTGGAACTCAACCTTTTCGGCAAAAGGCTATCTGAAAGGAAGAGAAATTGAAATAGAGATAAAAAGCGATTCGGGTGCAACAACGCAGCTTTGTTAAACAAAGATTTGGTTCTTCTACGCCTAGACAGGAATTCAGGTGCAGGACGAAAGGAAAATTACATTGCTGATTGCCACCCAAAACGTCAATGCACCAAAGTATCAAATTTCGTTGAAGGCAACATTTGCTTATGAGAGCAACACGTAGGGATGTTCCGATACAAGTAAATACGAGTACGTACTCAATACTTTTGTATCGATACCAACTACCTTTTTTACTCGAATCATTGTTTCGATTCATACTTGGTATCGAAAGAAAAGTACTTGTATCGAATCGATTTGAGCAAGTGCCATATCTTGTCAGCGTCGTTTTTATGAAAAATAATTGCTTTAAGCAATGACCCCGCCAAAACCTAAAGTATGGACGTATTTTTACAAAATTACTGATACCACAGCAAAGTGCAAGCAATGCTTTAAAACCGTAAAGTTTTGTGGGAACCTATCAAAGGTTGAAATTGTTGTCTAACATGTCTATTCTGCGCTGGTAACATAAATTGTGTAACCGGTAATTAAAGTGTCTGTCAATTTTTAAACCTTTTTCGCATTAGGTGTGCTCTTGTAACCGGTAAATTTGGTTACTATCTCATGAGCTGGTAACAAAATATTGCCCCATGAAATATGCAATACAAGAACTTCCACAAATCTCCATAGCTGAATATTTTCACTGCATTACCAACGTACCTAGAATCGCGGTGACAAGAAGTGGTAACATTTTTTGGTAATACAATTTTCCGTGTCTACCTCACGAATTAGTAAAACTACTTAGAGTAATTTTGCGCTGTATGGTCTTTGGATTATCAATAAACACCGATAGCTTTTCCGAATATGCATTGGATACCGCACAGATTTTCATACGGGAATATCCATGTTTTACATGCCCTGCTCAGTACAAAGGAAATTGATTAATGGAGCGGATATTATTGAAAGTGTACCACTTCCGATAGGCATGATGTCGAAGTAAGCTTTGTAAGCAAGAAAATGTACGAAATTTTCGGCGTGGACATACTCGCAAACATTCGCCCTTAAATGCGATGGAGGCAAAGAACTAGATAACAAGAAGAGAAAACTCGTTAGACTTATAGCGAAAGTGAGCAACAGGGGCGTGCCTTCTCTTTTGCCCTAGTACGTTTTTTGATTGGACGAAAAGAGAAGGCACGCCCCTATTGCTCGCTTTCGCTACAATTATAACGAGGTTTCCTTTCTTATTATCTACGTTCTTTGATGGATGAACTCGTTCTTAGTCTCCTCGGATCCCAACTTCGTCAAATAAATCCAAAAAAGCACCTTTTTGATAGGGAAGCCCAAAATCTCCGTCTGGATTCGAATGCGGAGAACTGACTCCAAGTACATTTTTTTCAATATTCAATATTTATAAATAGCAAAAAAAATGTAAAAAAAAAAATTAATGTTATTAAAAAAAATATTTAATTTTTTCCTTTTTTTTGAGTTAATGTTACATAAAAATTAAAAAAATAACTTTCATAAATATCGATCTGTATTTAACGATGCTAACGAAAACATCGATATATCGTGTCAAGAGCGCTAACATTCGCGTGTAAATATCTCAACGCGTGTTCCTTCATTTTTTGGGTTGGGTTTTTTCCTTCTATTTATGATATGGAATGGAGGGGCGTTGATTTTGAGGGTTTAAACTCGCCGCCACTCATACAAGGTAACGAAACACAACAGCTTCAAATCACTCGAAAGCATTGGGAAGAGTATTACCGAATCGCGATTTACATACCGTACCTCTGGATCTTTTCATTACGAATTCGCAAGATCGATTTCTGAAACACCGGCATAACACCAAATTTTGATGAATTATCATGTTGTGAACTGTTTGAGAAATATATAGCAATTTTACATGATTCGGTGTCACCAATTACTTAGGGGTCATAGCTAATTTACCATATAAACTTAGTAAATAACGCTTCGTGAGTCTTTTCTTTGAGTTGCGGTGAATTACGTTCATAATTAAATACAATATGCTGAATACTCTAAATAAAACAATGATATTCTTGGTTGTTGCGAACGACTTAACATAAAACCACCCTCCGAATAGAAATCCTGCGGCCGGCCGTGGTACTAAATTTATGCTGGAAATAAGGCAGTGTGACAAACTCATTAACAAATCGATTTATCTCGGATAAGTTTTGTTAGCCTGTAATTAATTGTTATTCCTTTTAGGTCAAATTCGATATTTGAGTATGTACATAAGTACATACATATATTCTAAACACGCAACTAAAGTGAAACCAAACAACCGAAAACTAATAACCAAAACCAAAACAAATAATTTTGTTTCATAGAAGAGTGTACTTTGTGCCGATGGGGCAATTTACATTGTCGCCAGGCAACACCTGTCCAAAGCGAAGCGACAAATCAACCAAACTATCTACTAGCCAATTGAAATAGCTGTTACTATGACTGAGAAAAACCACAAACGGCGAGAATCATGTAATTTAAAGTCCACAAAATTACCTCTTAACTACGTCACACAAAATTCAATTGACTTTGAGGCATAAAATCTGCTGATAAGCGAAAAGGACATTCACAAGCGGCAAGGACACGTGGGCATTCTGTTGTAGACAGTCAAACAATTCACGCTGGGCAATTGCATTGATACAGTCGCTGTTGTACCGCACAAGATTGTGCATCAACTCAGGTGAGTGCGACAATTCAAATTAATCATTTCACGTACATATGGACATAATTTCACTAGAGGACTAAATATATGAAAGTTCAGTAGTATAAGTGTTTACATATGTTTGTACATAATTAACGCAGATGAATGAAGTGAGAACACCGCCAAATTTATTATACCAATGCAGTGGGCTCTCACTGGGAGCCACTTAAAATCACTTGAACTCTCCAGCGAAGCATTGCATACTTTTAGGCAACATTGTGAATGGCAGTGCAGTTGCATGCTGTCTGTAGAGCTGGAAAACTATCGATGGCACTATCGGGTAATATCGATGGTTTGCCGTTGTTAGGTTGTTACTATCGATAATTGTAGCCGCCATCGATAGTCTTTATGACTTTCGATAGTGTCTTCTCTATTTCCACTACTCTATCATTCTAATTTTAAATTTATTGGTGCAAAGGTTTTTTTCGTTTAGATACATATGTGTGAAAGTACGTAAATAATGCGAAAAAGTTCATATAAAAGTACAACTCGAAACTTCATTACGAATTGAAAACGAAACATTACGATCGATGGTGTAAAACTTAATCTATCGAAATTATCGAGTGGGAACACTATCGATAGTTTTCCAGTGGTCAATGGACTTAGATGCGTTTGACTCCTCCATACAAAAAATAATTGTTCAACATACCTTGTGTGGAAGAGCCTGAGTGAAAAAAATTGCCAAAAATCAACGCGATTTTCTCGCGACTTCAAGGTGGCACTTTGTTGCACAAAAATTTAATGGAAAGTTGCAAACGAGTATGCGAATTTATTGACTATTTTTGGTCTAGCACTGCATGTAGCTGAAGCCATTTATGGAACTGTTTTGGGAAAATCCTTAATTTTGTTTAGTATGTAAGTTTTGATTCATTACCATTATCTTTTTTTAAGATGACATTTCTCTCGAAATAAAGGAAAAGATGCGCCAAAACATAAATAAAAAATGTGGATGAACAGGAAGAAGAAATGCGTTCTTCCAGAAGAATTACTGTTAAAAGCTCACAGAAGTTGTAGACATTATTAACAAAGAATTTAATTTATTTATTTTTCCAGATATAAAAAAATTGGTGAGTTTAAGCTCGAGAATTTGTACTAAAAAACAAGTTGGAGCTTGAGCTCACTTTTTATGCATGAGGCCCATTATTTTAACACGATTTCGGCGCGGGTTTACTTTTTCTTTATAGGTTACCATTTCAGAGTGTAGCACCTCAAAAAAATGAAACAAATAAAAACGTATATGAAAGCAAGGACTATTCTACATAGTACACATTAGGGATGTTTCGAATGTCATATTTTGCGAATGCGAATTTTCGGAATGCGAATGTGAATGTTGGGAATAACATTAAAAAAGCTATAATCAACTTAAGTCATCGTTTTTATCACATAAAAATTTTGTAAATTATTAGAACATTGAACGAGTGCTTAACCTGCACAGTACACACTGGCCGGAATTGGATTTTTTTTTATGTTTATGTGCGCAGGTAATAAAAAATCTCGTAACTTCTACAGGTTTGATGTTTCCATTCTCAATTGTTTACAGCGTACTCCATAAAGTTGGACAACTATTTAGGTTGGAAAAAAAAAATCAAACATGTTGAAGTCAATACAAAAAACTTAAAATAAAAAATGCGATTTTTTAACACAAATTTTTTTATTTTAATTTATCTCACACTCTCATGAAAAGCCGAGGTAATTACGCACATTTCGATACCTCAAATGGTTTTCTCCAACAAATAGTTTATTAACTGCAACAAATTAAAAAAAGATACTTCCCCGTAAGTTCAAAATTTCGGGAATTTTTCTTTTCGAGATTTGTCGAATATCATGACGAAATAAAAAAATAGGTGCCTTCTTTTTTTCGATAAAGAATGTAAAAAATATCGAGCTCTAACCGCCAAAATAACGTAAGCGACATTTTTTTCTAAATTTTCTTTTTGATGCAGAAATGTATCTAGATGCTCTAGGAATATTTCTGCATTCAAAAAGAAATTAAAAAAAAATGTCGCTTACGTTATTTTGGGCTCGATATATTTCACCCCAAAAAAAATATTGAGGTGTAAATATTGTATGGAATGACCCCTATGTATCCTCCTTACATAGAATAAAGCAAATTCGGAATTTTTTCACCTCGTTAATATTGAAAACTACTAAACGGATTTGTGATTTAATAGAGGATTAGGCCTGAGAATTTATATGGGGTTGCCATCTGTCTAAAAAATTATAAGATCCGCTACGTTCGTTGGATTTGTGAAAATGGGGTGTCAAATGAAGGTGCTTGGCCTCTAGATGTCCAATAATGTATTATCTTTTTAGTAGGGTTACCACTATTTTAAAAATTGTAATATGTTCACAGTTAGTTGGACTAAAAATGAGATACAAAGTGAAAGGATTCGTTCCCCGGATCTGCAACAGAGTTTTATTTTTTTTAGCGGGGTTACCACCTTTTTAGAAATTACTACCTTACATATACGTATTAATTTTTTGTTAATGACATCAGATTTTCACAGTTCATTCAATTTACACAAAATAAGGTGTCAAGAGCTCGGTCTATACATGTGCAGCACATCTTTATTTTTTCGTAAGGGTTGCCGCCTGTTTTAAAAGTCGAAACGAAAGAGTTCAAAGAAATCTTTAGTTTGAATATTTAAGCTATTTTTGAGGTGTTTGAAGGAGATATGGAGAAGAACATATGGGTCAAGTTTGAAAATGATAACTTTCTAATTTAATTCCGGCCAGTGTGCAGTGTTTAAACCTAGTAGTCAAAGTTCAAAAGGGGCATATTATATTTCAAAAAAAGTTATTTTGCTGCCTTTTCTCCCATGAGGCGATTTCTAGAGGCTCGTATATAAGCCCGCCTGTACTGAACAATTGCTCACTTGGAATGCTGGCGGATGGAGCGCTCAAATATATTCGGGCTAGATCTGTCAATTTGTCGTATTTTAGTAAACATTCGCAACATCTCTGGTACACATGGCCATAAAATACACATATGCATACGTAAGTACACATACAAACAAATGAATGTATTTCAATTCATAGCCACCTCTAACTAATAGTAAAATGACCTCTTCGAGTGCTGTTTGGAATTTTATTTAATTATGAATTACATTCAAATCGATTTCCCTTATAATTATTGTTGTTCGTATTTGCATTGCTTGTTGTTAGCGATGTTAAAAGTACTATTGTCCTTGTAAATCCACTTGCTTGGGACAGCAACAGCTGCAGTCAGTATCGTGCAATTGACAATGATGGATTCTATTTTCTACTAAAAACACAGGAAATTTATTTCTAAGCCCAAAAAACGAGTAGATATTTTTAATTTTAAAATGCTCGATGACACTGCACATATTGTTAAAGAATTTGTTTATTGTATTTTAAGCAGAGGTGGTTCAAAAATGGCGCCTACACTTTACTACTTGCCACCTAGTCCACCATGTCGCAGCGTTTTGTTGTTGGGTAAAATGCTAGGCATTGATTTCGACTTGAAGATCATAAATATATTGGCCGGTGAGCAGTTGAAACCCGAGTTTTTGCAGTTGAATCCTCAGCACTGTATACCAACAATTGATGATGAAGGACTTGTGTTATGGGAGAGGTGAAATGCGTAATTAAAATTTATATTTACTAAAGCTATTATGATTTATTTTCCTTGCACTAGTCGCGCTATTTTGCAATACCTGGCAGCTGCTTATGGCAAAGACGATTCACTCTATCCAAAAGATGTGCGTGTTCGTGCGTTGGTCGATCAACGAATACACTTTGACTTGGGCACCCTGTACGCACGCACGTTTGACTACTATGTAAGTACATTTAGTTATAACTGATACATACATACATATGTACATACGTATATACAGTGGCGAAAATATAAATAGAGAGGATATATTGTACCGTTATTTGGCTTCTTCCCTTTCAAATACTCACTGTTTATTATTTTTATGAAAGGGTTGCGCGTTATCTAAAAAAAACCACGCAAATCAAAATATCAAGCTTTGTACAAATTCGACAAAGTTCATAACAAATTTTCAATTAGATTTCTTAAAAACTATCTGAGCATGCAGTTTAGTGGAAGTTTGAACTCGCTGGGACTTACGGTTAATTTTTGGCAACTCTCTTTTTTTAGGAAGGTGTTGCTCATTTGTTCAATCCAAAAAAAATAGTGTGAACAGAATATTGCCATAAATTAACGGTAACTCCTAGCTGCTCCAAACTTAAAATTGAATGGACTAAAAAAGTGCATACTCAAAAAGTCTAAAAATCTGATTAAAACGTTTAAAATTTTGATGGAAATGTGTTCAAATTTTTGGAATTTATATAAACGTTCTAAAAATTTTGAGATTTTTATTTAAATGGGTTTTTTATATAGTAAGCTATATTTTCATTAAAAATTACAAAAAATTTTTAAATTACGAAAACTTGCTGAAATGTTACATTTCCGACAAGGTACACACTTTTCTTAGTGGGTTGAAATTTTATAAAAAAAAAATTATTTAATAGGGTAATTTAAAAATATGGATAATTAACCCTGATTAATTACTTGGGATACAGTGGTTTTGTAGTTATTCGAAAAATGGCAATTTGGAAAAACGCGGTTTTATTTTACATATTTTCTATACTTTCTCTACAGTAATACTTACTGATAGCCGGAACTCATGACCAAAGTGGTAAATAAGCTCCATATCGATGGCTGAGTGGAAGATCGACCTATCTCGGCAGCCAGTTCGAAAACGTTCTATCTCAAAAAACTTTTCAAGAACGCCTTATTTCAGAATTTAATTGAAAATAAAATAATATTAAATAAGAGCCCGGTTTATTCGACTGTAAAAATACGGTTTACTCGGTATTCGAAAAAACAGGACTTCAAAAAAAAAAACGCCTAAAAATATTCAAAAACCCGGTTTGAAAAAACAAAGTTAATCACCCTATTATTTATACACAGGGAACATTTTGACAACTATATATATCAACCATTATAGCCACATTAGGTTCTGTATTTTTCCCTTCCGTCGTGAATCTTAAACTATGATTTCCAGATTTTAATTATTTTTAGTAATATTTTTTAAATTAGTTCCATTGATTACGCTCAAGGGCCATCAATGGCTCTTTGAGAATGGATTCTATATCTTCCGCTAGGAAACACTTTATTGGAGAGTCTACAATAATTTTTCAACTCCAGTAGTAGAATACGGATTCAACACGATTTTAAATATTACACACATTTTTTTTTTAATTATGTATTTCAGTTACCTACTGTGCTATGGAGTGCTCCTTTGGACGAGTCCAAAAAAGCCAAACTGAATGAGGCATTCAACTGGTTCAATGACTCGCTGAAGGGTCATGAGTACGCTGCAACGGATAACTTTACAATTGCTGATCTCACCTTGTTGGTAACGGTGTCACAATGCGAAGCTTTCGGATTCGAGATTGATTCCTACAATCGTGTCAAACATTGGTTGCGGCGTTGTAAGGATTATATGCAACCATATGACTATGAGGTAATCTTAAGACCTTTTTTATTATCACAGAGATCCAAATATCCAATTAAACTGTTAATTTTCTTCATCAATTAGGAATTGAATGGTAGCAAAGCTGTGATCTTGGCTGACATGTTTCGTGCAAAAATTGAAAATCCATAAATTGCTAAATTCTTGAAAGATTGTATTGATTCGAATTATTTCGCTGAATTACACTAGAATCTTATATTTGTAGAACAATAAAGCACCCACGTTGTAATAGATTATCACTATAGTAGTGTTGCAAAATCAATATTGAACTTGACTTTAACAAAGGGTTAGTTAGAGAAAGTGAACTCTGCTTTAGCTGAGCTGAATTTCAAAAGAAATTATGCCTTCTATTTATACACATATACATATATTTTTACGTATGTATGTACATATATTCGTATGTATGCATGTATCTATTTTGTTTTATTTAGCCAAAAATAATTGCCTTGGACCACTAACAAAAGTTTATAAATAAATCAAAGGGGTTCTGTCGAAAAAATACATATATGGCTTCGGTTAAAGAATATACAAATCGTATGAGTGTGCGTGTGTCTCTTCCCAATTTGCCACAGAATGGGCATGAGCTCAAATCGAACTCGTAAACTCTTCTGGGCGAACTCGAAACGAAGTTTTTTTT